AAAAAAAATGTAGCCAGCATATTTAAGGACTGGCCAGCTGAAATACATAACATTTTTGCTTCTGGATATAATACTTTTTTAAAGGTTTGTAGTGTAACATTGCAGAGCTGGTGTCCATGGTTCAAAATCCACTTGGGATACTAGGGGTAGATTTACTAAAACTGGAGCATGCAAAATCTGATGCAGCTCTGCATAGAAACCAATCAGCTTCCAGTTTTGTTTTGTTTTTTGTCAAAGCTTAATTGAACAAGCTGAAACTAGAAGCTGATTGGCTGCCATGAACATCTTCACCAGATTTTGAGTGCTCCAGTTTTAATAAATCTACCCCATGGATACATGTGTGGCTTTATTCCAACAATTCAAAAACACACTAGAGAACTAACTGACATCCACCCTCAATTGGCCCAGTATGATGGCATTAGAGACATTAGATTTATGGTGTAGATACTGATGTGGTTCGATGTTCTCTGTAAATACTCCATTACTGTTTAAGTTAATAAAATTTGTTTTTGTAATTCTGTTAATCTGGTTAAGTGGTAGATATGAACTAAGGTTTACAGGGTCCGAGTAAAAATGGCAAAATCTGCCTAATTGTTTTGTGTTGTTTTTTTACAGCTGTGCATATACACATTTGCGGAAATTTGCCCCGTGTTTGTTTACTGAATATATCTAGATTTCTTGATACAGAACATGATTAGATGGCTTGCTTCATCTTGCCTTCACACCTTGTCTAAAATAGAAAGGGAATGTTATTTTATTAATAGCTACTTTATGTTGGCCATCTTTTAAGCTCCGTTCATACCATCAAACGCACATGCGTGGTTCCCTGCCTTGCTTGTAGGGCAGCCCAGTAATTTCAATGGGTTGGCCAACGCATGTGAAATGGCATATCTGACCCTTTTGACAAATCGTGCCGTACCAAAACGCATTGTGCTGGGAAACCCCGCGCGTTTGCTGATGCGCAAGGTGCCGCTAAGTATTAATGGCATCGCTCTACATCTGCAAAAGAGCAGCGTGTTTCTGCAGATTGCGGAAAAGTGTGCAATTTTGCGCTCATTCCCACAATGCACATGTGAATGTAATCTTTAGAGTTGATACTCTTTTTGGTTATGTAGTGACATCACAGGCTTTTGAAGTCCCCATTGTGTCTAATGAAAAATGTTTCACTTGTTGCCATTTTGGTCTGACTTTATAGCTGTATATAGCTGGACACATTTTATGACATACTTGCATGGGCACATCATTTCATGTGTCTATAATTCTAACAAGACAACAAGCACAATTAGAACATTTCCTGTTGGACGCAGTCTACATTTTATGAACTTGTACTTGCATAAGAGAACAAGATAAATGCCATTTCTAAAACATGTTGCCTTTCATTGGTCCTTACAATGCCTTTTCAGTAACAGAGGTGTGCTATTGGGAAGTAGGCATGTGGGACAGAGGCAAGGCAAAAAGATCAAGGCCCTGATGCTAGCCTACAACCAGGGCCACTCAATGACCTGCTATGGTCCTGTGAAACTGTTCAAAATTCATAAAAAGGGGTCTTTTTTGTTAAATAAAGTGAAACTAATCTCTAGTTTAAAAAGAAAAGAAAATAGTACTCAAGTATGTATTTCTAACTCAAAAAAAAATTCTACTGTTCTCAGCCTCTTCCAGATCTCCAAATTTCTTTTTTCCTTTTGTGATCTGACTTCCTGTTAGAGGATAGCTACTTTCATTCTCCATGGCCCTACTGTGTGAAGGAACATATCCACCCTCTCTTGCTCATTCCCGAGATGGACTAGGAACTATGGCATCTGCACTGTGCAAAGAACAGGGCAACTAACCGCAACTAACATGCACTGCTTGTTCCAAACAAACAGAAGTGAGGAGGAAAATGAGAGGTTCAGAAGCTTATACAGTAGAGGACATTACAAAGAGGCAGAAAAACACAGTAAAACAGCCCACAAATTATGCAGGTTTCTTTCCTTCCACCACGGGTAGAAGGAAAGAAATTTGCTCGATTCCCCCATCAACACAGTCAGTGTTGATGGGGGAATCTCCCCCAATGCTATTGTTCTCTGCCAGCAGGGAGCACTTTCCATATAGCTACCAACAGTGATTGTATGAAAAAAGCTACTTGCACTGGAGTCAATTAACAAATCATTTTCAATTCAATCAGCGGGGTTGATTTTCTAAAACTGGAGAGTGCAAGATCTGGTGCAGCTCTGCCCAGAAACCAATCAGCTTCCAGGTTTTATTGTCAAAGCTTAATTGAACAAACTGATGTTAGAAGTTCATTGGCTACCATGCACAGCTGCACCAGATTTTGCACTCTCAGGTTTTAGTAAATCAATCCCAACCTGATTAAGGATGGATCAAAAATCTTGGACAGTTCCTGCTGAAATGGCCGAGATTAGATCGATCTATGGCCAGCTTATAAAATAATGTATATAGATATAGAAGCTGTGGATGTGTATGGATGAGAATAAAGATATTGCTTAGTGTCATTTTAAAGGGCCTTTTTACACGGCATTGTAATGAATGCATTCTGACACACTAAAAGTCCTTATATAAATAAAGATGGATTTCGATATTTTTTTATATAAACATTGATGTAATGATTCCCCTAAGGTATCTCTATCACAATTGGAGATAAATCAAGCTATTAAGATTTTAGCAGGCTTGGTCAATGGTAGTTACCCCTCCACTCCAATTTAAAATTGTATGTCAACACACGCAGCTAACTACGTTGATGTTTGAAAAAGCACCTGTATAAAGTTGCAAAAAAAGTGCCTCTATGCACATGCATAGGTCTAAATGCTCGCAAAATGTATGCCCAGCTAAAACCCTTGGGCTTTGAGTTAGTGGTGAAGGTAGTTAATAGCAATAAGTCCAAACCTACGTCCCTAATAACAGAGTTTACCAATGAAAAACGTCTGTGACTTTAAAGGTGCATTTAACCAACACATACTAAATTTAAAAAAATGCAAAATGTATTGAATTCCATAACTAAAAAGTTGCATATTAAAAAAAAAAAAAGCTACAATTTCTGGGGAAATTGTGTGAAGTGTTCTTGCCTCCACCAGTAGTCTACAACTGGAGTGGGTGAAGTAACTGGGTGGAGTGGCTTGAGTAACTATTGTGTGGTTGGAGTGGCTGGAGTAACTGTGAAAAGTTTGGACTGGGCAGAGTAACTTTATGGAGTGGGCAGAGTAACTTTATGGAGTGGGCAGAGTAACTGTGTGGAGTGTTTGGAGTTAGTAAAGATAGTAAAAATGACACTAACCAACTGATTGATCAAATTTAAAAAGTGCACATGGCAAGCTTGACAGAGTGAGAAATGCATTTCAACTTTTAATTATTTATATAGCACATTTAATTGCAATGTTGTTGCCCAAAGTGCTTCCCAGTTACATTAAAACATACATGTATAAACACATTAGCAGCATTATCACCTCAAATACTCTCTACTGTAGAAAACTTATTTCTAAACCTTTAACCAGAAGCCGGCCAAACTGTCACGAATTCAAAATTAGATTTCAAATAGGGCAGAGAAGAGGAGTTAAAAACAAACTGCTCCAAATTGCTCACTTCACTGGCGTCTTCAAATGGCCTTAGTTTTAAGACACAAGACCCAGACCTACATTTTGATGCATAGTATGTCTCTGAAATATTAAAAATGAAGGCACAGTCGCAGTTTAGAAATTGCCCTTCAAATTTGAGGTGTCTAGAGTGGAGTTTCAATGAATGTCAATGGGCGGCGTGAGTTGCAAACAAATGGTCATATTGTGAAAACTTATCAGGACTATGGCTTAGTCATGGACATTTTTAGTGGCAGCAGGGATAGCTGAACGTTTATATATATTTATATATTATATATTAATATATATATAGGGTCTGGGATTAAAAGTACAATTTCAGTCTTTGCAGATGTCTCCAACTTATGAATTGACCTCATTGCTCTGTTTAATTGGGCAACTATGTGGAAAATGAGGTTTAATGTTGATAAATGTAAAGTTATGCACTTGGGTTTAAGAACATGCATGCATCATACATACTAGGGGGAGTACAACTGGGGAAATCAATTGTGGGGTGTTCTGGTTGCTCATTAGCTTAATAATGGAAAATGTTATCAAATACTTACTGTACTTTTCCTTTCCTGATGCATACATGTGATAAATAATGAGCTAAACATGGAGGGCTAAACGCTATAATCAGACTTTATTACAATGGACATGAACCACCATTCTGTTGAAGTCCGTTACTGTACAAGCCCTTGGATCTTCGCTGTACCGCCCGAGGCAGGTGCACTGTGGCAACCAGCCTGTTGATTTGCAAAAGTCTCCATAGACACCTTGTATGTGCTTCGCCAAACATAGAGATGGACCTGACCAAATGATCCTCTTCTGGAGGCTTCTGCCTAGCCGCATTGTTCACGATGACCTTGCCACTCCAAGATGACAAGGTTTGATGTAGCTTTCTCCTCCAAGTTTTCCTATTGAAAAACCCGAACAGCCTCCTGGAGGAGAGGGGATGTTGCTCTCAGTCAAACATTTATAGATTTAGACAGGTCCTGTTGGTGGATATAGGGGTGAAGCTATATCATATCCATGCTGCTATGTTGGTGTCATGAAAATAGCATGCAATGCCAAGCTGTGGTTTCCAAAGTGAGCAAAACCCTTCCTTCTATTAAAAGAGGTATGGAGTACAGAGAGAGAGACATTATTTTGCCCCTGTACAAATTATTAGTATTAGTGGGCGGAGCTAATTGTGTCACTTCCTGTTTGTCTGAGTCTGGATGTGGAGCACATCGGTGTTCCGTAACACATTGATTTTTAAAATGCCCATATATGGTATACTTGTAAGTGCAATTTGATGTGTTTTTAACTGCCTCCCGCCCACCATATAAGGAAATGACGGACACAAAGTGGTTCTTTCGTTCTGGGAGGTCATCATATGATGTCCTCCCACTCTAACCGCGTGTGCGCGACCCCCAGGGGCGCACAGCGAGGCGATCGGTGGTGCTCTGTGTTCCTGGGACGCAGCGGATCACCGATCAGCAGAAAGAGCCGAAGTCTTCAGCTCTGTTATGTGATCAGCTGTGTCCAATCACAGCTGATCGCATGTAAATAAGGAAATGCTGGTTATCGGCATTTCTCTCCTGACCAGATGTCACGCTGACAGCTCATCAGCAGAGGAGAGCCGGTAATTGGCATTACTCAGAGGGAACATCTACAGTGATCATCAGTGCCCTGATGATCAGTGTAGCCCCATCAGTGCCACCTGTCAGTGTCCATCAATGTCACCTCTCATTGCCCATCTATGCAGCCTGTCAGTGCACATCAATGCCACATATCAGTGCCTACCAGTGCACATCAATGCCACATATCAGTGCCCATCTGAGCTGCCTTTCAGTGCCAACTGTCAGTGTAAGTCAGTGCCACCTATAAGTGCCAGTCAGTGGCACCTATGAGTGCTGCCAATCAATGCCACCTATCATTGCCAGTCAGTGCCACCTATCAGTGCCAGTCAGTGCCACATATCAGTGTCCATCAGTGCCGCCTATCAGTGCCTGTCAGTGCCACCTAACAGTTCCAGTTAGTGCCACCTAACAGTGCCAGACAGTGCCGCCTATCAGTGCCAGTCAGTGCTGCCTATCAGTGCCATATATGAGTACTGCCTTTCAGTGCCCATCAGTGATGTCTGTGAATGCTCACCAGTGATGCCTGTCAATGCCCATCAGTGCCACCTACCAGTGCCTCCTCATCAGTGCCCATCAGTGCCACCTGTCAGTGCTCATCAGTGCAGCCTATCAGTGCCCATCACTGCAGCCTTGTTAGTGCACATCAGAGAAGGAGAGAAAAAATTACTCATGTACAAAATTTTATAACAGAAACTAAGAAAAAAACTTTTGTTTTTCAAAATTTTCAGTTTTTGGTTTATTAATCAAAAAATAAAAAACCCAGTGGTGATTAAATACCACCAAAAGAAAGCTCTGTCTCAAAAAAGTGATAAAAATTTCATATGGGTACAGTGTTACATGACCGCACAATTGTTATTTAAAGTGTGACAGAGCTGAGAGCTGACAATTGGCCTGGGCAGGAAGGGGGTGAAAGTTCCCTGTAGGCAAGGGGTTCATTACAAATAAACAGTGTAATGCTATGGAAGCCTCCCTTTGATTATTCCCATTGCATATCTGAGGTGGAGGTGGAGAAGTGGACCTTTTTTCATTGGGAGGAATCCATCATATTGGGAGGAACAGGAGGATCTTACCTAACTGAGCGCTTCCGACCTACCTATTCTTAGGGGGTCAACATATTGCGGTGAGTGCGGTTCTGGAGGGGAAGCACGAGTGTTAGCACGGATCACCAGTCATATACAGTGTATTGGCACCATTTTTATCACTAAATCACTAATTGTTTTTGTAGGATGTGGAAGGTGTCTCATAGTACAAGGACATTGTTTACCCCATAAGGAATGAACTGGTTTAAACATTGGACATTGTTTTTATACATGGACATTTGTGCACGTTGTGATAAGGGGAGGTGCATTGTAGTACCTATCACAAATATTAATTAATTCAACTTCATATTCAAGCTTATTCATTTTATAGTTGACGTGTTATTTGGTATATTGATTGGTTTACCTAACACATACATTAACAGGTGGGAGGTGTATTATAGCACACCCACTATGATTTATGGTTCATTTATCACAGTTGCATATAGGTAGAGTTGTTCACCTAAACACTTCCTCAGCAATAGGGAGGCATTTATAACACATTCACAATATTACTTCACTGTGGTTTTTATAAAGGAGCGGGATTGGCAGCGCAGCATTTATTTAATTTCATTATCACACTCATTCGTGTCAGGTGCTAGCAGCAGCCTTCAGATCCTTATACACCATCCGCTGCGCAGGTCTTCTTAATCTAAATCATTAGGAAGACCTCATCTGGAATATGCAATTCAGTTTTGGCCACCAATTCACAAAAAGAACATTGGGGAACTGGAGAAAGTACAGAGAAGGGCAACCAAACTGATACGAGGCATGGAGGAGCTCAACTATGAGGAAAGATTAGAGGAACTGAATTTATTCTCTCTTGAGAAGAGGAGATTACGAGGGGGGATATGATCAATATGTATAAATACATCAGTGGTTCATATAGTGAACTTGGTGTAGAGTTATTCATCCTGAGGTCATCACAGTACAGAGAAGGGCAACCAAACTGATAAGAGGCATGGAGGAGATCAGCTATGAGGAAAACTTAGAGGAACTGAATTTATTCTCTCTTGAAAAAAGGTGATGAAGGTGGAATATGATCAAAATGTAGAGTTATTCACTTTCAGGTCATCACAGAGGACAATGGGGCACTCTATGTCTGGAGGAAAAGAGATTTAACCTCCAAAAAAGAAAAAGCTTCTTCACAGAAAGAGCTGTGAAAATGTGGAATAGACTCCCTCAAAAAACTAGCTCTGGCTATCTCAGTAGATTGTTTAAAAAAAGGTAAAGCTGATCCAGGTAATGTCTAATTGCTTCTTGGGGGATCATGAAGGAATCAACCGCTTGAGCAAATTGGATCATGCTTCACTGGGTTTTTGTTTGCCTTCCTCTGGATCAACTGTGGGCACAGGATTGTGTATATGGGGTGTTCTATTTGTGTGTGTGTTTTTTTTTCTCTGTGGGTTGAACTGGATGGACTAGAAATGCTAGGAGGCTGTTTTTCATAGTGAATAAAGCATTGAGCCATGGATGGATGAGTGAGTTTTGTATATTATAAATGAATTAAATAGCATTTTCGGTTTGTGGTGCTCAGATACAGTTAAGTCTGCTTTAAGGATACTCAAGACCTCCCACTATAAAGTTTCACTGTCTTTGACCCTAGGTTCACATCTGTGCGGGTGGTGCCGCTGCGGATCCACACGAAAATCCACACCCGCATAGAGAAATGGATAGAGAAATGCGGAATCGTGGGCGGGTGCCATTAGTTCTAATGGTATGCCGCCCGCACTGGAAAATGCAACCGTACTAGGAACCGAGGTTCACGTGCGGGCTGTGATTTCAGAAGAAGTGCAGGGACTTCTTCCCTGCGTGTTATGGGCACGGGAGTCAATTCAAATGAATGGGTTCTCGTGACCGTGCACAACGCGGCCACATATATGTAAACGGGGGGTAAATTACACAGCACTGGCCTTAATAAACTATGTATACAGCATACTAAGGCACTACAATAGTCAGAAATCATCTTTCTTCAAGTTTAAGTGGACATTCTGAGTTCTGATTGGTTGCTGTGAGTTATAACCCACCAGTTATCTTTGCGGTAAAGGTACCAAAGGAATCTGGGAGGAGGAGAAGAGCACCTGGACAAGAGTAGGCTCACATAATGGATTACACTGTTCAACAAGTAAAAAGTTTTGGGCATAAAATTAGCTAATCTTACATAATTTTGGGGTGCTGAAAACGAAAATGACCCTAAAAAATGTTGATTGGCTCTAGTTTCCATGATATATTCACCCATCTAATGACGTAAGCCATTCAAAATTATGATGCAACTTCAGCTGCATATTGCGCAATTGATACTGGTGACCAATAGAAAATTGCATGTATACTGAGATGATGCAATATTAGCCTTTAATTGCATCACTTCACTGCATAAAAGCTGCAGTATCTGTAGCTGATTGTAGTTCCACAGCGTCTTTACATTTCGTTTTATGCTTATATAGGCTACTCAGTAATGCCTCGAACTTGTGTGAATAAAGCAGATAATTTCTGCTATATCTGCGGTGAAATAACTTTTATCTCACAAAAAAGGAGGATAACAGGAATGATTAAGAAAGCCTACAACTTGTATTTTGGCTGCAATATAGGAGACCAGGACAAGAGCTGGGCACCACATATATGCTGCAATTCTTGTGGGACAGCACTGGAGCAATGGTTGAATGGAAAAAAAGGCATCTATGCCTTTCGCTGTGCCAATGATTTGGAGAGAGCCAACAGATCATGTTAGTAATTGTTACTTTTGTATGGTGCCTCCAACAAAAGGGCTAAATAAGAAGAAAAAGTTATCTGTGCACTATCCAAATATTCCATCGGCAATACGTCCAGTTCCTCATGGAGAGGGGCTACCAATTCCTAAAGCACCAGAATCCTTCGTGGTTGAGTCAAGTGAGGAAGAACCTGAAGCGTGTAGTCATGTGCAGTTGTAAGAGATAGCCCTTTCCTCGAATACAAGAGAAAAGCCAAGAGAAGCAAAACCGACACAAACTGAAGACAAAACTAGTGAGAATCCTAAGTATTAAAATGATTCAACTTAGCTTATGGCTATAATTTTTCTTGGTAATCCTATGCAATATATTATGCCATTTAGGCTTTGTTATGTAGTCAATATCACTTGCTTTATATTTGTGGAAAGACATCTATCTATATAATTATTGTGCATTATTTAGTCATTACGCCTATAGTAGAAAACTTTCCGTTTACAGAAAAACTAGAGCCAATTGACAAATTTCATTGTTATATTTGAACTCAGAATGTGAAATTCATTAAGAAATGGATCCTTTTGTTTCCAAAACTGGCAAAAAATAAAAATTTGTTGAACAGTGATTATACAGGATTTATATACAGGATTTATACAGCGCCAACAGTTTGCGCAGCGCTTTACAATATGGATACAGAAATACTTCACCAAATGTGTCATAGTTTGGATGTCTGTTTCAATGCAATACTACATTGATTAATAGACTGAGATGCTGGCTAAGGGACCACATAATCTTGAAAATGATGGTGCCTAGTAAGTAATGAGCTTGGGTTCGGCTCCAAGATTTGTCACAACCCAACTAAGCCCTCATGCACACTGGACATTTTAATAACACTGGTCATGTTAGCTGTGTAAATTCACATTAAAAACACTTTTTTTCAGCTGTTTTTAGTGTTTTTTGTATTAGCGTTTAGCAGCGTTTTGCTGCGATTAGCGGCGTTTTCCCGCTTTTGCGGTTTTTAGCATTTTTCAGCATTAGAGTGTTTTTACAGCTAAAAAACTCTTCTAGAAACCCACTAGTCCTGGGATTTTTTTTCCAGCCAAAAAACGTTGATTACACTCTATGTGTGCATGGACACAAAGGATAACATGCTGGGGGGTTTACTGGCTGTAGAAAAAAACATCAAAAGACAAAAACAACAGTTGTAAAAAGGACTAATGCCCCATACACACTATAACAAAATCGTATGAAAATTTTCGCATGAGGACCGATCCTCTGATAATCGGGTTGTTAGTACAAAGCTTTCGAGAGCCGATCACGACAATTTGTACGAAAATATCCGAAGGGACAATCGCAAAAATGTTTCTCATACAATACCAGATCGTACGATTTTCGTTTAATCAGTACAGTAGTCGTCTAAAAATACAATACAATACATGACATCACTTTCAAAATTCTTTTCTTTCTTAGGAGAA